GGGTTTCTACACCGGGCTCTCTGGACCGATAGATAGATGGGTCTGGGGAAGAGCTGTGTATTGAGAGGGTTGTGGAGAGCTAAATATAAAAATTCTAGGAAACAAGGAGCCATTTCAGTACCAGGACTACTTTTCTTTAAAGGTTTTCAATACTAGGAGTGATGGGAAACTGGCATTTATTTACATGAGTGATGAGGGAGAGACTTCTGTAGAAATGCTGGAAACAAAAAGAGAGACCTGGGTTGTGCTTGAGGTAAAGGCAGTTCTTTGCAAAGAGTGATGGGAAGGGAGCCTCTTGCCGATGTAACACTTTGAAAACATGCTGAGGAAGACCCTGACACACTGGGTATGGGTATAAACAAGAATTACAGTGTGCTGCTGGGCAGGGCAGGAGAGATGTCTGCAGAAATGCACCAGAGAACAGTGAGTGAAAGGTTTCACCTGTGTCTGTGGCGTGAGACCACTCTGAGAACACACTGGCCGCCTCTGCCTTCCTAGGTTGATTACATCCGTCTTCCCAGGATTGCATTTTTCCTGAAATAGTTGACGCAAGAAACTACAATTCCAGAAATACTGGGCAGAATATCAGTCTGGGGAGTGATGACGCATGCCCCATGCTGGAAACGACTGGAAAACAAACACCCTGTTTGGGGAATTGTCTTAAAATATTTGGAATGAAGTAAGTTCTTCGTGGAGAATAATAGGTTTACAATCTCAATATTACAATTTCAAAAAGAGTTTGGAGAAAGATGGTGATGATGTTGGTTCCAACTCATAACGACCCTGCACAGGGTTTCTGAGCCTGGAAATCTTTATGGGAGTAGAAAACCTCATCTTTCTCCCGCGGTAGTTTCGAACTGCCGACCTTGAGGTCAGCAGTCTGACTCGTAACCACTACGCTACCAGAACGCCGCTATCTTTGAAAACAACAGAGGAGGAACTGCTGTCCTAGTATAGATGGGCGGCATTTGTCTGAAATCATTATTAGTTTATGTTTAGTGCTTTACAATTTACCAGCCCTTTGAAATGAAGTTATTGTGAAGATAGGCCAATTTGGAGAATGGTGAATGAAGTTCTTTTCATTAAGAAGTAATAAGAATTTACAATTTTTATTTTGCTGAGAATTAAGACAGATAACACTCTACTGGAATTAATGTGTGGGGGAAACCAACTTTATTGTGAACATGACTGCAGAAATAGAAGCTATATTAGCAGGCAAAAGGAGACTCTGTGTACAGAATCACGTAAGAGAGAAGGCATTGAGAACAGTAGATTGAAAAGAATTCTTGGTTTGGAGTTGGGGAATAATGGGAAGAGTGGGGCCTTTCAATTCCCTTCTAGGAATGATAAAGAGAAGAGGAGAGAATTTTGAACTAGTAGGGAAGATTTAAAAGTTAAAAAACAAAACAAAAACCCAGAGCAATGCTGCCTGTTGTTAGTGTTAAGTGCCATCAAGGTGGTTCCAAAGTCATCCGGATCCTGTATAGGGTTTCCAGGCAGCGGATGGTGAGTTTGAAACACTGACCTTTTGGTTAGCAGTCCAGTGCTTATCCTACAGCACCACACCAGGTAAACAACAATGCTGCTTAGCAGAAATGTAATGTAAACTACATATGTAATAAAAAAAAAATTTAGTAGCCACATTAAAAAGGTAAAAAGAAAGAGCTGAAATTAATTTTGATATATTTCATTTAACTCAGTATGTCTAAAATACTAGAATTTTGACATTAATCAGTCTAAAAAGTTGTTAATGAGGTATTTTATATTCTCCTTTCATACTAAGTCTTTGAAATCCAGTATTTTTCGCCTTTCACACATCTCAGTTTGTACTGACCACATTTCAAGTGGTCCAACGCTCCATGTAACTAGTGGCAACTATAGGCAAGATTACAGACCTAGAGAGTTGCAAGGACAGAGTCATGTAAAGGTGTTGGGGAAAAGAGCTTTGAATTTCAGTTAACTAGCCTAATGTAGTTTCTAGTGCTTCTGTTGTACCTCCTAGCTTGTTGCGTGGTACCGGAGGTCTTTAAAGCTTCTAAGTCAGCCATTTAAAAGCACTACAGTTGGTCTTTATTCTCCTGGAGAAGGAGAGGAAGGAGAGTGGCTAATTGCCTTCATGAACAACTGCCTCCTTTGCCATGAGACCACAAGAACTGGATGGTGCCCAACTACCATTGTTGAATATTTTAAACAAAGAGTCTGTTATAAAAATCTTGATCAAAAGGTGAGACGTGCATAACAGAGTCTTAAATCTTCATGGAATCCAAACTTTCTGGAGTCATTGAGGCTGGATGAATACCTGAAACTATTGCCATAAGATGATCTTTAAACCATAAACCAAAACTATCCTAAAGTCTTCTATAAGCCAAACAGTGGTGGTGGTGGTGGTCGTGTGCTGTCATGTCGGTTCCAACTCATAGGGACCCTGTCTAGGGTTTCTGAGGCTGTAAATCTTCACGAGAGCACCTGATGGATTCAAACAGCTGACTCTGCGGTTACCAATCTAACCTGTAACCCATTAACCACCAAGGCTCCTTACACATCATACAGTAATTTGGCTTAATAAGTAAAGAATGTCTGCCTTGAGCACGGTGCTCTTTTAAAGAACTATCTATAGGTTCGTGAGGAGAAGCAATTTCAAAAACGGAGATTTAGAATGCTTGCACACCTTGAAAAATGTAATCAATGCTGCTGAATTGTTCATGTCAAAATTACTAGATTGGCATATGGTTTGCTGTGTATATTTTCAGCGCCAACAAAATAAAATTAAATATTAAAGAAAACAAACAAACTGAATTTGGGAGGATAAGGGAGGCCCTCAATGTGTTATATACAATTGAGGGATGAGAGCAATAAACTCTAAATGACTGACACATGCCATTCTGGGATGGCAGAGATAATTCTCTTCTGTGGTGCCAATCTGTATCACAGATGACAAGTGAAGTGCATGCTGTCTACTGGGATTATGTGACGAACTGCCCAGTGAAGGAATGCAGAAGAAAACATTAAATTGGGGCTATCTAGAGCAGTGCTTTCATTCAAAGAGGGAAGAGTTGGATTGCCTGGAAACAAGAGTGAGGGATGGTAGACCTCCATGCATAGTTATTTGGCTGGATGACAAAAAAAGATTGATGTGAAAGAGGATGCTAGTATTGGACATGATGAAATAAAGACGTTTGTAGTTGGGGTAATGTAGAAGACAAGAGAATATGATGAGACAAATCTAGGAGACATCCTTGTAGTGAATTTGGTAATTTTTTGAATCGAGATGAGCAGTAAAAATGGAAGAACTGCAAGGAGACCAGGGAAACTGCTAGGAGCGTGGTGGCATTTGAATGTGATGGATTGGCCAAGTGGCAGCATCATTGGGCTCAAGCGTGACAACAATTGTGAGGTTGGCCCAGGACTGGGCAGTGTTTCGTTCTGTTGTGCAAAGTTGCTATGAGTCGGTACCGACTTGATGGCACCTAACAACAACATGCCCCTGATTATAGCTGAGGACATTTTAGATGACCATCTGTTAATTCCTGAACACTATCAACATGTGATATCTACTTATGAGTCTGTGACATGAAATCAACGACTTTGGTTATTGGAAACAGGAGGGAAGAGTTCTCCTGAAACCTTATAGGACTTTTGAGGAAGAGCATATAGGGAGAGTCATTGTTCTATTGACATTTGCAGAAAGGCTGATATTATATTAACTTAGTACAATTGATGGAACCTTTATGGAGGAGTTGGAGCATGTAGGTTCAAGCCTCCATCAACTTTATCACCCGTTACTGTGCCTCTCTTACGAACATAGTATGTCCAAGAAACTTTCGGAGTTTATACGATTAAAAACTTCATTTATAAACATGTGAAAACTGTATTTTAATAAAACTACCTTTCATTTGACGCACCTGAAAGCACTGCTCTGAGAGGCGTTCCTCGGCTTAGCAGACTGATAAGTGTCCAAGGGTTGGGAGTCCCTGATTGAGAACAACTTTACAGGGAGAGGTGGAAGGACGCCCTGAGATGCCTTGTGCCACACTGAAGTGAGCACTGGAGGGCTGGATGAAGAGCACATGACAATATGGAGGTAGGCCTGACCAGAGAAAAGTGATGTCCTTCTGTCCAGAGGGGTGGGCATGACTAGTCTGTACTGATAGTAGTGGGGAAGAGGTGCTGTTTGAATTAGGAGGTAGGAGGAACGTGATGCTATGAGGAAAATGCTGTGCACTGAGAGGAATGTTACAATAGGAAGTCAGAGGCAAGAATTCTTCCTTGGAAGTAATGAGAGAAAAAATTATTTGCTGTGGAACAATATGAATAAAGAAATTTATATTATTTGACTTCTGACTTCCGTGGAGGAGGGGGCTGGTGTCTTTCATCTCCTGTCCAGTGGCTACTAGGACCTTTGCTTCCAAAGGCCTCCTCGATGGAGTCTGAGAAGTCAGGCCCAAGCTGTAGCAGCACCCTGCAGGCAGGGGAGAGGAGACACAGCCCCTCCATGATGGCTGTCCTGCAAAAGTAGCTGGCCGTCAATATCACCCGGCTCAAGTGCCAACTGAAGTAGGCTCTGGTCAAAGGCATCAGCCAGCAGGGCCTCAAATCCCTGGCCAAGGGGGCTGGCTACCAGCAGCTTCAAATGAGTTTCCAAGAAAAAAAGGATAATCAAGCCCAGAAAGACATCCACTGTCATGGCCACCAAGAAACCCACTGGTGGAGTTAAGGAGAAAGGCCCCAAGAACCCTGGGAAGGCAAAGATGGACCCTCCCAACCCACATGAGGTGAAAAAGATGCCCAAGAAGCCAGCTGAGGTAAAGAAGGTTCCCCGAAAGCCAGATAAAGCCAAAGAAAAGGCACCCAAGAAAGACAGTGAGGCCAAGAAGTTACCCCCCGCAAGCCAAAGAAAGCTACAAAGGCCCTTCCCTGTGTTGTTGGCCTCAGTGGGAAGACAGCAGCCAAGCCCCTCTTCCAGCCATTGCTGAGCCCCCAGGAAAACAAACGTTGGGAGTATGAGTTCCAAAGCCAAGGCCGCCAAGGGCAAAACTGGTGCTTTCCCAGCAGCCAAGGCTAAGGCCCCTAAAGGGGCAGTTGCCCTGGGGGCTGGAAAGGAGTCAAAAACCAAAGCAACACCTCCACCCAAGACCAAGGGCAGCGGTGGGTCCATGACCGTCGCTGTGCATCGAGCCAAGAAGATGGGGGTCTCCAAGAACCCGACAAGGCGTGGGCTGCCTGCCAAGACTCCATTGTCTAAGGGAGTCGATTGGAAAGGCAAAAGCCAAGAGTTAAAGGCTGAGACTCACCTGGAGTTTTTATTATCCAACAAACCATCACTCTATTTAATCACTATTTGTCAATTAAAAATCTTTTTTCACCCATAAAAAAAAGAGAAATGAAGTACTGGCATTAGAAGTACAGGCCGTGATGAGAAAAGGAGAGTCTGCTGGGAGCAAACTGTTCCCATTCAGTGAAGAGCACACTGGGTCGGGGCAGCAACACACAGGCTCTTTGGGATGATGAAGAGATGTGAGGTGACTGCATTAGGTGTGATGGAGAAGATGTTTAGGTTTCCTATTGAAAATAGGGTCATGCTGAGAAAAAAAGTCAGGTGGGAGAAATATTGATCAGAAGAGAAGGGGTGGGGGGAGCAAAGTGGCCCATGTGGTTGCACTGAGGGCGATGGGAATAGACGGCAGGTTGTTCAGAGTCATGCGGTGATGTTCCCCCTGCCGTCAAGGGAGAGGAAGGGGTAGCATTTTAAAGAGTGACTTGAATCGTGTTTTGGAAAGCTTCTACTAGAGGCTACAGGAAACTACAGAGACTAGAGCTGTAATGAGAGCACATAATGGAAGAATGAGGACTTGGAGCAACAGGAGAGTATTTTGACCTGGGAGTAATGGGAGTGAGTTGTGGAGAAGATGGAAGTCTACATTGGGTGCACTAGACAGGGGTGTGGGTATACTGGAGGGAAGGGGGAGATGTATTGATCTGGGAGGAGAGAGAGGAGGCGCTTCCTGCTGGAATGAATGGTTCTTTAAATGACTCATAGATACTGCCAGTGTGTGGTGACGTGATGGCGGCAACATCACACCTGAGTGTTCTTAGCATCTTGTCAGTACAATTTAGGAGTCTGAAGTGGTGATCTTAGGTTGCTTCCAGCTTTACAAATCTGCTTTTATCTATAAGGATAAATTAAATGTTATTAATTAAATGTTCCTTTTTTTAAAAAAATAAAAGATATCCTTAGCAGGGTACTGGGATGGGGGGGGGGGGCAGTTCAGTACTTTCCAGTGCTGAGTTTGTGGTGCTGCTGAGGAGCAGGCTGTCTGGGATTTATTCATCGTGAGGCTATATGAGGGCCAGGCGGAAGGATTGAAGCAGCTTTGTCATCTGGGATTGGGGAGGGTTACCTGAGCAGTTTATGTACAGCCTTTACATAAATGAGAGAGAGAACGGTTTGATGAACGTGGGAGTAGAATTTGAACAGGCCAGAAAACTTGGGGGATCGATTGTGACTGGTGAAGAACGAGGCAGGGCCTGCGCAAGGAGTGGTAAAAAGAATTTATATTGTGGTATCCGTTCCACCTGGTAAAGATATTTGTGGTATGGTGACTTTAGACTTTAATCCCTTTTTAAATGAAATACTAAGAGTGAAGTGTAGCCTAGTGCCGAGGGAAGAGTGTGGGCTTGGCCAAGCATTCTCTTGGCTCTGTCCTTTGCTGTGTGACCAGCAGGAAAGTGCCCAGCCTTTGTAAAATAAAGGCAGTAATACTTCTCCTACATAGTTGTTTTAAGGTTCAAATGAAAAGATGCTTCTTGTTGCTAAGTTGGTTAGACTCATAGTGACTTTGCAGTTTAGCACATTAACCTGCAGCACCACACCAGAAGTCCTGAAGTCATAGTTCATAAGAAACTAACCTTTTTGTCACTGTACTAGAATTGGATTGGAAGCTTTCATAGGAATTTAGTTGGGAACGACCAGTTTACTAGGCAGGAATCCTGTGTACCGATTCAGACAGGTATCTAGGTGGAGTGGTGCTAGAGAATACTGTGTTCTGAGAACCGTCGTGGTGGAAAATGCCAGAGGAGGAACCCTAGCATGAATCCAGTGGGGAAGTTTCACATTTTGACTTGATTTTCTGCCTCTCTACAGTTCACTCACTCATGTTTGACACTGTAGATCTTGAGGCTGACAAGAACAACTCTGTCATGTTCCACCTGGGCCTATTGCATCTTCTGCCCCCTAACACTTCTCCAGCCTCTTTTTTCTCTCAACATTCTTACCCCCTCACACTAGCAAAGTCATTTAACTAAAGTAATGCATACCCAGGTGAATTAAGTGAATTTTTTAAAAATCCAAATGGATATCAAATGGAGAGGATTTAAGATTGTTGTTGTTAATTGCCATCGAGTCAGCTCTGACTCATAGAGATCCTGTCTAGGGTTTCCAAGGAGCAACTGGTGGTTTTGAACTGCTGACCTTGCAGTTAGCAGTTTAAGATGGTGTTACAATAAATAACTTCAGCTAGTGTGTATACATTATTTTGGATATGTAAGTTGTGGGAATGAGGTAAGAGGCCAAATTTCCCCAGAGCCATCTGTCCCTTCTTGAGACAGAATTGTATTTAGTTTGAACTCTTGGGGTTACCTGTGACAATTTTCAATGCTTTATTGTTGTTAAGTGTTGTGGAGTCTATTCCTCCTCAGCGCTAAATGAAACTAACATGGGGATTTGCTGATTCATGTGATGGTGATGTGCAGGAGTGGAGCCAGAGCTAAAGGTGGCTGCCTGTGTCTTAGCCTCATTCTCTCCCAAAAGAGCTTTGTTCATATGGAGAGAGAGAGTCAAGGGCGGTGGTGGTGGTGGTGGTGGTGATGTACCATGGAGTTGGTTCCGACTCATAGAGGCCCTGCATAAGGTTTCAGAGGCTGTAAATATTTACGGGAGCAGAAAGCCTCATCTTTTCTCCTGCGGAGCGGCTGGTAGTTTTGAACTAAGCCCAGTAAACAGTGGTAGTTCCATGGTAGAATTCTTGCCCTACCTGTGGGAAACCCAGATTGTTTTCAGTCAGTGCAGCTCCTGTGCAGTCACCCCCTGTCTATCTGCGGAGGCTTGTGTGTGATACTGAACTGGTTTCAATAGCTCTTCCAGACTAAGATAGACTAGGAAGATCGCCTGGCAATCAGCTTCTGAAAACCAGTCAGTGACAACCACAACAGCCTAAGCCCCATCTGATGGTGGAGACTGGACAGTATTTTGTTCTGGTGTACACAGAGTCACCATGAATGGGGAGCCAACTCCAGGGCAGCTGTTAACAAGGACTCAGCATTAGCTGTTCTCAGTGTTCACATCCCAGATTAGAGTTTCAGTGACGTCACTAGTAAGTAAGATCTTTGGGAAGTGGGGAATTTAGGGGATTAACCAGGAATTGAGGGTGTTGTGATAGGTAAGGAAGTGGAACTCTGGAGAAAATTCTGTGAGCAGGAAGGTAAAGAGATGAAGATAGGTGATAGGCAAGCGGTGTCGGTTCCCCAGGGATGCTGCTGCATTGCTGTAGGATCCCCATGCAGCGAAGAGTGCTCCTAAGCGGTGAAGGAGACATTTGAAAATGAGAAGATAGAGAAAATTGTCATTAAAACAAAATTTTCCCATAGTTTGGCAATATTGTTCTTAAAATGAGAAAATGCATCTCTAAATAAAAAGAACACTGCGTGATAACGGTTATATTGCATAAACAAATCCTGATAGGGAAAATGGGAGAAAGTTCTGTTGGGAATTTTGTTTGGGGAACTTGTGGGAGAAATTACCTGCTAAAGAACCAAGATTGGAGAGTGAAGCCTCTCCTAGGGGAATAAGAGTCTTCTCTGAGGATGTTGGGGGAGATTCATGATTAGGAAAGATTAGGAAAGTGATTAAGGGAGAGCTCTCTGCTGGTAAGTGAAAACGATGAGGTCTAAACTTGGATATGATAGGAAGGTTATTTATCTAATGAGACATCTGGGAAGGGGACTTTTACTTCAAGTGAGAAGGGAGGAGAGAGATTTTACTGGAAAAGTTAGGAAGAAGAGCATTGATGGAGATTTAGGAGACCAAGATTCTGGACATGGCTCTGTCCCTAGTTGTGAGGCTTGGAGAAATCAGTTAATAATTCTAACACTCAGTTGTTTTTTCTCAATTTGAAAATAAGGTTACTAGTACTATTATTAAGGAGCTCTGGTAGCATAGTGGTTACGAATCGGGCTGCAAACCTCAGGGACAGCAGTTCGAAACTACCAGCTGTTCCATAGGAGAAAGATGAGGCTTTCTGCTCTCGTAAAGATTTACAGCCTCAGAAACCCTGTACAGGGTCGCTATGAGTAGGTACCAACTCCACGGCACATCACAACAACAACAATACTATTATTACTGATAAGAGATCTACCCTACTTGAGTGAGTTAATTGAAGATTAAGAAAATCAATGTGAAGGTGGTTTGTAAAGTTAAAGGTCATACAAAGGTGTTTCAGACTCACCAGCTGCTTCTCAGAAACTCTATATAGGGTTGCCGTGGGTCAGAACCGACTTAATAGCTCTTAACAACAACAACAACAATGTTGTTATATGGTGAAAGGAACTTTCAGGAGCTTTGGAACTTGTCCTGACAGCAGGAAGGGGCAGGGGGGGGGAATTCTTCAGTTGATTTGGAGTAAAGAATGCTGAAAGTAATGCGAAGTGTGGAGAGAGAGCATGAAGATGGATTGTCTTTACTGCACGTAAACTGATATGAATGGATGCTCCCATAACAAGAACATAGACTTCATGGGGGTGAGTAAAAGCGGACAAACCATGGGAACCTGGACTGTCTCTAGAAAGAAGAAAAGAAACAATTCTCTATTTGAGCCTGGTGGTGAAATGAGGACTTTGAAATGGGAGTGGTGGCCAATTTTAGCCCAGGTTTGAGGGATGATCTAGGTTTCTGCCCCCACCCAGACTGGTACTGGATTAAGGGGCAAGAATGGAGCTGGCAGAATCAGAAGGATCTTATCTAAGACTGTCAGGGGAAAAGCTTGAAGGTGGTAGCTTTTAAAGTAGAGTGAGAAGTAGGAACTAAGTGTAAAGAGGAGGGGGAGGACTGCTTTTCCGTGAATAACGTAGTTGTGAAGTGTTGACTCATAGCAATCTTGTATAGATTGTCCAAGGAGCTTCTGATGGGTTTGAAATGCCAACCTTGTGGTTAGCAGTCC